ATCAAGTAAACTTTCAATATGGTGCCATTTTTTCAAGAAATAAGCTTCCAATGCAATTTCCTCCCTTAGTAAATAAACCATCAATATGACGCCATTTTTCAATAAGTATACTTTCAATATAGTGTCATTTTTCAATAAGTAAGCTTCCAGTACACATCTTCGTGCTTCGATAAATAAACTTTTAGTATAACACCATTTTTCGATATTATTTCCGTTAAATAAACACGTAAAAATAAGTAAGATCGAAGAGAACGTTTTCTCGACTCTTAAGGCGCTATTCTAGCGTGCAGGTCACTTTTGTTAGCTACTGTTTGGGATTTTTTTTTTAGGAACCATAAATACATTATTGTGTCGTGATTTATGGCATGGTTTTGCCCTACGTTTAAGGAGTACACTATATACTTTCAGAAAATGAAATTTAAAAAGAATTGATTTTTTGAAAGTTCTAGACTAAAGAATACACCCTTAAGGTTGCACGCATGAAAAATATGCCGAGCCGTGGAAAGACAGTAGTCTCTTTTTATTCTGCACGAATTCTCGTTAGACTCTGAAAAGAAGTCTCTTTGATGGTGGGAGAAAGTAGAGGTGGGCAATTCCCGTGGCCCATAGCCGAGTACAAGCGTTTGATTTTCCTTTCGATTAAAAGCCGTAGCGATTAAAGTATACACGCGTCCGGCTTACCAAACGATTTTAATCAAACGTTACGCTAAAATGGCACGTCCGTGGATAAAATAAATTTTCTCGTTTATATTAATAATACAAATATGATTAATTAATAAACTCATATATAAATTAATAAAATAAAATACCCTTTTTCTTTGTTTTATTTTAGTAGCATTCTACAGGATGTTTCAACCTAATAAGATTACCCTAATATCTCCCTTATTTTTCGTTCTACGATAAAACTTCCCAGGACGAAGTTGCACTGTTTTACGGCCTACATATATTTATGGAGAGAATTTTTTCATCAAGATTTTTTCTTCAACATTTCAAGATCATCGATATCTTTTACAAGTATGCTGTACACTTTTTTTTCCTTGTCCTTATAAAGCATAAGCAAACAAATTCAACAACTATATTGAAGAACTATAACCTTCTTTAAAACAAAAGAATAATGGTAAAGAAGTGTTAATTAATACATTGTCTGACAATATGGCGATGTCTATGGCAATATCTCCTTTGGTTTGCGTTTAAATACAGTCATCCATTTAAAAATTTAAGTTTTTTAAATCGTTCTCCTTTTTCTCTGTTAGTATATTTGAAACATAGCAAAAGCAAAATAATTTAGCCAATAATTCTCATCGCCATGTTTATTGCACGATGAATACTGAATAAAAATAAATAAAAATTAACGAGGAACAGCAGCTAGAAAATAAATCAGTGCAGTGATGAATTAAAGCAAAACTCTTGGAATAACTTGAAGATGAAGAAAACTGTTGCACGTTTCTCTACGATTAATTTGAAAATATCATTAACTTCTTGGACGCTGTTCCATTCGGTCACGGTTAAAATTCTCTTCTGTACTCGAGGTACGAATGTTGGAGAAGCGTGAACCGGTTGTTCGTCCCTTCGGCAGTCTTCTCAAGATTAATCCGTTTCGCGGAAGTGCAAATGGTCACTTCGTATTCCTCTTGTCGAGATTGTGTGCTTATCTCGACTGACCATCGTTATTCATTGTGCTTCAAACTTCTTTTTCCACGAATTATCCTATATTTCATAATCACGTGTAATTAAAACTGATACGACGAAACTTGAAAATATTTCCAGTTCACCTGCGCTTCCACTTTTACTTCCATTTCGTTCTTCACACGTGACGATTATATACTATTGTTAATTAACATTAATTAATTGTCAAATTGATATTATATTAATGTAAATTATACTTTGGTATAATTACAACAGCAGCACAATTTTTAATTGATGCCAATCAATTAAATTCTTATAACAATTTTATATAATTACCAGATAATTTTGTATTTATCATTAACAAGTACCATTTTTATCGAAGATCAATTAACTATATCATTGATATTGTATTAATGTAATTATAGTCGTATATAACTATAGCATAACTTTCTATTTATTACTCTATCAGTACACTTGTTAATTGATACTAATTAGCTATATAATTATACTTGACAATTACAATAATTTACAATTAACTATCTAATTACATTACACTTTAAAATTCAGTTTTAATTACAATTTTATATAATTTAAATAAATTTTAATTCTACTGTATTGGTATATAGTTACATTCACTAACAATATCTCTCACATATTAATAATCCCACGATATTATATTATATGAATAAGAAAAACAAAATCTCGGTTCCAAATAGCAAATAACGAATACACATTAGTATCAAATTGTAAAAGCAAAAATTTCCACGAAACAAAATTTGTTTATCGAAGCAACAGGCCTTTCGCAAGACAATTCCTTAAACCAAGTCACGTGTTCATTCATCCTTCGACTTATCAATCGCTATAATTGACGAAATACGTTAACATCATCGAATGCGCCAAATATAACACTCGACAGGCGTTGAACGAACAGTTTTAACCGCGAATAGCGAGGCCAAGGCATTAAAATTTCCAGCACTAATGCGTTAAAGGAAAAAAGGGAGGTAAAAGGAGGAAAAAGGAGGAAGCAATCGCCAGGCCATTCACGGACGAGCAACAAGCTGGTGGAGCAGCTTGCGAGTAGTCCCGCATAAAAATACGACGGTTTTACTGTGAAATAGTAATACCGCAGCTAAGTGGAAGTAGAGTAAAAAAGAAACGGGCCGAGGGATGAGAAAATGGAAATGCAGACGAGCAACGACCGACAGAGCTTTTGAGGGTCTCCTCCTAGATTTTCGCGGGGATGCACTCGGCTCGAAGTGCAATCGTAATTAACCGCTTTTCAGTGTCTCTCTCGCATGAAAAATACGAGCTTGCATAAGTAAGTGGGCAAAAGGAACGTGTCAAGCTGGCTTCTCGAGCGAACATTTCTCCCTCGATTTTGCTTTTAGCCTCTTCCCACCACCCTTAATCCCGGATGCGCTGCATTCGAATAAAAGGAGGGAAAACAGTGATCAATGAATGAACCAGTGACATCGGGAATTATAACTTTCGCGTGACTCTCGCGTTCTATTACACTGCTCAACGCGAAATTTAATCTGTAATATCCATTAGGGAATTTTTGTAGAGAATTCACTTTCTTGAAAATGAGTCGAAATTCTTCTAATAGTTTTCGAAAATTGTGAGTTTTTCTCGGACGCGCAATTTTTGGCTAAAATGAAGTGTTAGATAAAAAGTAAGAACGTTAGGTGGTTCACTCTTGTTTTACTAGTTAGGCGAGAGTATCCCAAGATTATTAATGTAAATTATAATTATTTGTGCTTCAGAATGACTATAATTTGTCATCAAAGTTTAAAAGTAAGCCTCCGAGCGTACTTTCTGTGCATATTCTTGTAGTTTTACAAGAAGTCACTTATCTGGCACGAATTTGATACACAGTAACGTGTTCTACAGGCTTTCCTGAAGAAGAAGCCACTGAATAGAATAGTTGAAACAATTTTCAATTCGATTAGATCGAGAAAATATTCGTAGGTAACGTGAACATGTACAATAGATCTAACATATAACTACCTCAATAGATATTAACCACTCTTCATTTTCAAAGTTCCAAGGGAACATTGAAAATTCACTAGAGATAAGAAATATCTTAAACCTTATGAGTAGCTCTTAGCTTGCAAAAAATTATTTTTTGGGAAACGATACCAATTACCAGGTCTCACCACGTGGAGGTGACTAGGCATCGAGACCCGGACATGTGCCCTAGTGGCGCAACCTACTAGCGCCACCTGTATCAAAGATACCCTAATCTAACTCGGAGTGAAAAAAGTTAAAGCAAACCTACTGACACTTCGTGCCTTACAAAGGGGACTTCCATTCGGTATACTAAAACTCTACTGTCGCGACGCTAAGATATTTTATATCATCAGACTCTGATATTATCAAGTTCCCATAAAAATAGGGAACGAAATGTGAAAGACGCGTGCAAATGAAAAATCGCGACGCGGCTGAACGAGTTCACGATTATTCGAAAGACCGACTAGCCTACGGACGTACTTCCGTGTACTCGACACCTTCATGCCCCAGCGCCCTCTCGATCGGTCCTAGCCCACCCCAGCCACTGTCAACCTCGTCATGTCTTACTCGCCTTGCAAGGTAGTCGAACGAACCGACGAAACATCCTGCATCAACCCGAGGGTCCCTAGTGAGTCCTGCTAGCCATGTCACGTGGATCCCGTGGACCCTATCCTATGGGGGTGGTTAGCCCATTTCCCTATTTCGCAATGGCGCAGACACGCTGTGCAGTGTCAACGGCTACAGGACCCATACCCCGATCGTGAACGTATATCGGTACACAACGGTTCTTTCACTTATTTTACTTTTATTATTATTATATATTTATTTTGTTATATTTATATTATATTAATTTTATTATTATTATAAATATTTATTTCTTACTTTACTTATATTAATTAACATCCATCTTTAGAATCTGATTAAATGGCGACTGAGAGGCGCCTCTCGAGTACAAAGGGTTAAAGACCTTTAAAGAATTTCAAATTACACATGAAAAATATATTAGACTACGGATTTGAACGATCTTATTATTTCTCAGATTAACAAATTCTTGTTTCCTCCTACTGAATTGCACGTGTATGACATGTACACACCTATAACTTATTCGTGTCGTGTTTTTAGTCTGGTGAATTTAGTCTGGACAAACCGACTAACCATCTTTCATAACACTCCATTAATGAAATCTCGAAATTCAAAAGTGCTGAAATTTTGTGCAAGTCTAGCGTTCAGTGTCGTAATATCTCGTTGAGAAGTAATAAGAGCTAACGTAGCCGAGAAAAGACTTTAGTATACCGATTATTCTTTCGATATAACTATTTAATACAACTAATAATATAACTATAACTAACCAACCCTTATTTTGCATGTTGCGTGTTACAGCGTGTGACTGCCATCCGATCGGCGCCTCTGGGAAAACTTGTAACCAAAGTACCGGCCAATGCCCGTGTAAAGACGGTGTAATTGGTATCACTTGTAACAGATGTGCCAAAGGTTACCAACAGAGTAGATCGCACATTGCACCTTGCATCAGTAAGTACACGAATTCCTTTTAACGCTTTTAAGCTTTCTGCGTATCTCGTTGATTTTTATCAAAATTAATTTATAGCAGAGATACGTGATATAATAAATCGCTTTTGATCATTTTCGCGCATTTCATTATTACGACTAGACTGTAAAGAGCATAATCACCACGAATGAATGGAGTTTTTCCAGTTTTATCAATTTTATTTAGTCCACGTTTAATCGACGATTATTTGTATTTAATTTCTTTCTAATTTCTTTCTATGTAATTTCTTTCTAATTTCTCTCGCAATTTCTTTCTATGCATTTCTTTTATTCCGTTTCTAGAATTCTACGATTCGTTAAAAATTTCTGTAAATTTTATGTTGATTCTAATAAAAATTTATGGGAATGAGTACCGTAGGATTTGAAGAGACGGAAAAATATATTTTGTTTTTAATTATGCAATATTTCTTGCGTCTAGATCTGTTTGTAAGAAAATTGACATTCTTCTTAGGAGAAATTATGTTATGTAATATTTATGATACATTCTTTTCTTATGAAATTTTTTAATCGATTTTTATGTTGCTTAATCGTGAAAAAATATGAAGTATTTGTTTATCGATATTTTTGTTATGGTTCTACTTTTATGGTTTGCTTAAATTACAAAGGAAGCATGTCGAGTATAATACACGAAAACTTGGCATGATAAAATATAGAAGCATAAACGTTATTTAAAGAAAGTATTGTACCACACCCACTGCACGTGAAAATTTCTCATCGACAATGAAGGTAATGGAGAAGATGGATTATCGAAGCTTTAAAAGCCATTAATAACGCGAAATTACGTCCTTCATTTTGTTTTTACTTTTTCTCACAGCTTTGTCACGTGCATGACATAAATAATATTTTAATAGCAGAGAATTAATAGCAAGAAATTGTATATATTTCTTAATTCTTTGTTATAAAATAAAAATTGCTTTTATTTCCTATCAGTATTATTATTAATGTTATTAATAATTAAATTAAAACGATAATTATTAATTATAATTAATAATAACGTTACCAATGTTATTATATTATTTACGTATTAGTAATATTAATAATAGTAATAATGTTATCTAGATTATTTTTAGTAATAGAAAATTAAGAAATAGAAAGCAGCGAATTATTTTATCAATATCGTATCATTTTGCGCGTAATGAGTTTCTTTATTAGTATAGTATTAATAATGAAAGGTTAATAATGAAACGATAAATGTTTAAGTAAGTACCAGTTAATTTAATATCAACCATAGATCATCAGATCGAAAGAAAGTAGCATAAATCTTGTAAATATCATTATACCAAAATTCTTTTTTATATTTTATTTAATACTGTACCATATCTTTCTTACATTTTACGTTCTACAAAAATAAATCGTGTGTTGTGTGTATGTACATATATATATACAGGGTGGGTCACTAAGTATTGTCTTTTACGTTTACGTCTTTATTATTACGCCTAGTGAAAAATGTTTTCTTTTTTTTTAAATGGAATCATATATTTTTTATTGCACCATTCGATGCATCTTGACATTCTTTAGAAAAAGGTATTAACTCTTCTATGAAAAATTTGTGAAAACGATATAACACGCGTAGTAAGAAAAAAAAAATCCAAGATTGTTAATATTTACGACGAACATTTATTCCAGATGTGAGCCGTGGTGGCGCTAGTGAGTTAAATGAATTGATATTAACCCTTTACACTCGACGATTTTTTGGCTAGAGAAGAGTAGAAATTCAAAGATTCTCTAGTAAAAAACTGACGATACTTTTTTGAGCAGTAAATAAAGAATTGTATAATAGTAGAATTGTAGAATTATTTGATATATGAATTAATATCGATCTTTCAAATTTTACGAAATGGTGACTAAAGGTCACCACTCGAGTGCAAAGGGTTACCTTACTTATATTAAAAAATCATTAATTTAGGAGTTATTTTAATTTTAACAGTATTTCTTAACAACAATAAAATTACACTATCTTCTAAATTAATGATCTTTTAACGTAAATCGGTAATATTTATGTATACTTATAAAATAAAATAAAAAATCAAATCCGTTCAGAAGTATGCATGATATTTCGACCAAAATTAACCACAGAATGTGTCGGAGTTGCTGGTATTCAGGGGTCGAGAAAGTCGCGATGTGCAAGGGTTAAAATTAAAATAACCCTTGAACTAATGATTTTTTAATATAAATAGATTAATACTTTTTCGTAAACAATATCAACATGCATCGACCGCTGCAATAAAAAATATATGATTGTATTTAAAAAATCATCGATGACCTTCAGATGTCCTCTACACGTATACATACAGGAAAACTAATACGAATGAAATGTGTCCCCTTCGAAACCATTTAAACGTCTGTTCAACATTTTTTCGCTAAGCCTATTAATAAAGGCGTAAACCTAAAAGGCAGTATTTAATGATCCACCTGTACATATATAGGGTGTCCCAGAAACGGTAGTACAATCAAGTAGGGGATGATTCTTCATGAAAAAACGAATCGAAAATAAAGAATAAAATTTTTTCATTCGAAGCTTCGTTTTCGAGAAAATCGACTTTGAATATTCACCGAGTACACATGCACTTAACTATGTTTTAGATATATAGACCATCGATGCATCAATATCGATGGCACAATCGAGAAGGGGATGATTCTTCATGAAAAAACGAATCGAAAATAAAGAATAAAATTTTTTCATTCGAAGCTTCGTTTTCGAGAAAATCGACTTTGAATATTCACCGAGTACACGTGCACTTAGTTATGGCTTATACGAATAGACCATCGATGCATCAGTATCGGTGGTACAATCGAGAAGGGGATGATTCTTCGTGAAAAAACAAATCGAAAGTAAAGAATAAAATTTTTTCATTCGAAATTTCCTTATCGAGAAAATCGCCTTTGAATATTCACTGATGGTCCATCTGTCTTAAGTGCACACGCACTCGGTGGATATTCAAAATAGATTTTCTCGAAAACGAAGCTTCAAATGAAAAAATTTGATTCTTTCTTTTCGATTTACTTTTTCATGTAGAATCACCCCCTCTTCGATTGTACCACCGATACTGATGCATCGATTGTCTATTCGTATAAACCATAGCTAAGTGCACGTGTACTCGGTTGATATTCAAAGTCGATTTTCTCGACAACGAAGCTTCGAATGAAAAAATTTTATTCTTTATTTTCGATTTGTTTCTTCACGTAGAATCACCCCCTCTTCGATTGTACCACCGATACTGATGCATCGATTGTCTATTCGTATAAATCATAGCTAAGTGCACATGTACTCGGTTGATATTCAAAGTCGATTTTCTCGACAACGAAGCTTCGAATGAAAAAATTTTATTCTTTATTTTCGATTTGTTTCTTCACGTAGAATTACCCCCTTCTCGGTTGTACCACCGATACTCATGTATCGATATTCTATTCACATATAAGCCATAGCTAAATTCACACGCTCTTAGTGAATCTTCGTAGTTTCGAGAAAAGAAATGAAACTTCGAATTAAAAAATTTTATTATTTTTTTTTCGATTCATTTTTGCATTTAGAATCACTTACTTATCGGTTGTACTACCATTGCTAGGACATCCTGTATATATACATTAATCTCGTATCTCTGTTTAACATCTATAATGTTACTAATATAACTTCATAATGTTGAAATAATTAGCCAAAATCGCACATATCGTTTTCTCAACCATCTTTCATATTCGATAAACGAATATCGAATTTTCATTGAAAATTTAGTTGACGTATGAATAATCGGCACCACATAATAACCGATTACCAACTTTTTCTACTACGTTGACGATCTAAGTTTACTACGCGTGTAGCAGACTTAATTATTTCCAGCATATCGCACTTCGCCGTTCCCTACAGAGTTTATCCTGACTTATTATGCACATAGGTATCCTTGCATTAAACCTGAAGCGTTCTTCGATACACCGGGTGATCGAAAAGTATTCATCGCCTATTTAATTATCAAACGTTCCATGCAAACATCGTTCTCGCGAAAACCTTGCAAAGAAAACGTAATACAGTATGCCAATATTTTCAAATCATCTTAAAATGATGTATATCCTTCTCAAATCGAATATAAACGAATCTACCATAACCTATATTCAATAAACTATTCCAAAATTTTCCGAAAGAAACAATAATTGGAGAGCAACGTAAAAAAATCAGCAAATATTGCGGGAGATATACATATGCATACTGGAATCTGTAATAAAATGCAAAAAAAATATATTTATACTGAAATTTGAAATAAAATGGAAAAAAATTGTATTAATAGCGAAAAAAATTAAATTACTAACGTATTCTGTTAATTTCGAGGTGTTTCTGTATCGACCATACAGCCAGAGTTTGCCAATAAATCGTAACAATGCAATCATCGTAGAGTCAACAGTGCAAAATGGTAAAACGAGCGGCCCAATTGGGAGACTTCGTCGTTAGGTCACACTGTATCTAACGAAACACACGAGAACTCTTCGAACGTTCCATTAATGGCTCGGACGGCAATGGATCAGTCGTGGAACGAGATAAAAAAAAAAAAGAAAAAAGGCGGCACGAAATTTTCGACCGTGGCCGTCCTGTTTTTAGAAGCGATCGATCGATCAATGGGAAGGAACACGCGACCGTTCGACCGTGTTATCGCACGATCGCGCGTCCAATTAGGCAAAATTTGCGAATACGAAAGAGGGAACCGTGTAGGCCTTTTAGAAGAGATACGAGCTGTATTTAACGTAACTCTTCGTCCAACAATTTCACATTTATTTTCCTTCTCACAGAAATACCGAGGGTTGTGCAGACTCAAGGCACGGCCGGCGAGGAGAGCGGAGAACACGAAGACGACGACGACGAGCGCGGTTACGATGGACGAGCTGGTAAGTAAATGTCAAATGAGCCAATGTGACGTGTCTCGCGTCGTTGTTTTGACTCCCGATACGTAACGTTCCGCTCGGAAGATGGCAGTACTTGTTACGAAAGTTGATTTTTATTAAGCGCGTGTCGCTGTCGAGGTTAGGACGCCTAGTCTGGAAGACAGGTTATGTGCGGTCGGAATTTTCGAAGGATACATCGAGACGAGTATTTCCTTATTTTTTCTCGTGTATAATTTGAAATCAAATTACCGTGTGATATTGAAATATTATCCATAGTTATTAACATACTGTTAACAGTTAAAGTATTATCGCTGATAATATTGGCAAATACGATACGTTGCGAATTGTAGGTTATAGGTTATATTCTATTGGTTTCTACGATTTTACGACGAATATGGTAATTAGTTGATTAGTTATTTGTAAAATTTAAATAAAAATTTTGATTTGCAGGATTTTATCTTGTTTTATTGAACTTGTTACTCTTGTACAAGGGAAATTATACATATTCTGGGCTGTTTTAAATATTGAAAGATATATTAACCCTCGAATAGTCTACCGTAGATGAGCAACGCGACGAGTTTTCACCGGGTCACTTTTGACCCATATCTAAAGCAGAATGTTTGTTTCTTTAAACAAACTACTCTCTACCCCATATTGTAAATATTATTAGACAATATCCTGCGCCATAAAGTTAGGTGCATAGCAAGTATAGTGAAAAGGAGGATGTTAAAAAAAGACCATTTTTGGCATCCCCTGGAAATGAAAAGTTCCTTCGGAAGTTTTAAGAACATTTTCCAAGGAACAAAAAAATTCTTTCATCACTTTGCCAAGAAACGATGGGAAAGTTGTCGAAAATCAGTCGAGATATGTGAAAATGAGACTGATCATATACAGGGTGTCCCAGTAACGATAGTACAAATGGGAAGAGGGTGATTCTACATGCAGAAACGAATCGAAAAAAGGAATAAAATTTCGAAAAAGTCCATTTTCTCGACAACGAAGCTTCAAATGAAGAAATTTTATTCTTTATTTTTGATTTGTTTTTTGACAACTTTTTGTCAATTTCTTAACAACGTTCCCATCGTTTCTCGGCAAAATGATAAAGGAATTTTTTGTTCCTTGGAAGATGCTCTTAAAACTCGCGAAGAAATTTTTCATTTTCAGACAATGCCAAAAATTGCCATTTTTATCATGCTCCTTTTTACTATACTTGCTTTGCATCTAATTTCTCGGTGCAGGATATTGTCTAATAATATTTACAATATGGGTGGGTGAAGTTTGTTTAAAAAACGGAAAATTTAAAAAATATATTTTTGATTTATGTGCATCGGGTACATACAACGTTATATGTTTTTTGACATTGAAAATAAACGTAATTTGAACTACGTTTCGAAGGTTCTCCTGCACTCGATATCGAAGGCTTTATAAGCTGAATATGAAAAATCAAGAACGGTTAATAATTATCGAAGATAAAAATGGAATAAGCAAAAAGATCGATAAACAATATACGCAAAGGTGGGTGGGAAATAATGTAACTCTTGCTGTAATAACGAGAATGGAATTTAACTTATTTGTAATTTCTGGTATAATATTCACATAAGCAGAGATACTGGCTGTACATATGGGAAAATGCAGGGAAGGTAGGAAGTTTATACTGATACAAACTCCCTTGCCACGTGGCGGTATGGAATGTAAGCACAATATTAATTTGGCAGACGGAGAGAGAGAGAAAGAGAGAAAGGGAATAGAGGGTTGGAATGTCTAGCCGCTTGGTCGCAGCCTCTCAGCCACCCTAATGGCTTAATTAAAACTACCCTCACTTGCGGCTTGCCCATTTGCTCCAAGTTTCCAACGGCCTACTTGTACCGCCGTATGAGCACAAAGTTTACCATTTTTATTTACTCCTCTGCACATGGCAATAAATCGTGCCATCACGCTAAACTGTCTGACATGCAGATTATTCTTTCTGCTACTTTTAATTTCGCAATTTCGCAATTTTGCAAATTCGTTCATTTGCATATATATGTTGTTTTACGTTAATATAGTGAATTATATTAATATAATCTGTATTAAATATATATGTTAAATATGAATGGAACAGGTTGCAAAAAATGCGAAATTAGAAGTAGTAGAATTGTTTTATTTGCACGTATGTTTGACACATATTATATTAAATTAATATGCTGTATTATATTAATATAACATGTGTTGAATATGTATGTAAAATGTGAACAAAACAATTTGCAAAAAATGCGAAATTGAAAGAAGTAGAATTGTTTTATTTGCACATATGTTTAATACATGTTATATTACATTAATATACTGTATTATATTAATATAACATGTGTTAAATATGTATGTAAAATATCTACAGAACAATTTGCAAAAAATGCAAAATTAAAAGAAGTAGAATTGTTTTATTTGCACATATGTTTAATACATGTTATATTACGTTAATATACTGTATTATATTAATAACATATATTCAATATATATGCAAATAAAACAATTGCAAAAATGCGAAATTAAATTATAAGTAATAATATTTATTACAATTACATATGATAATATTTATTGTAATTATATGTAATATTTATTACAATTACATATACTAATATCTATTACAATTATATGCAAATATTATATGTAATAGCTTTGATACAATTATATATAATAATATCTATAACAATTGTATACAAACATTATATGTAATAATATTTATTACAATTATAAGCAATAATATTTACTACAATTTTATACAATAATATTTATCACAATTATATGCAAATATTTATCGTGAAAAGGTTAAAAATTCAGAAACATATTTAACTTAAAAGTGCTATGAAATAATTGAAACAAGGAAGAAGGATACCAATACTGTATTACTTAATTAGATTTCAGCGATCTTCTGTCTCCTTGTAACATTTTCTTCTTTTATTGGATTTTAATATGATCTCCACGTCTGTTAATCATTCCAACTGTTATATAGACTATCTGTAAACATTATTTACATCTAATCGTTTGAATACATTCCTGACTCACCAATGATACGTGCTTATAGTAAATGTACTGTGAATACTGTATGTGTACGTTGAATTATTTTGCACTTTTGCTAATATATTCTCTAGAATCCTGTTTTAAATGCTTCGAGCTTAACATGTACATCTCGTCTGTTGTCACAAATCCGAAAGCGAAATAAAAAGGCATCTCGGTGAATATTTTGAAAGTAAGTCTCGACAATTTTGAAATGAGGGCATAACGAGGCTTCCTGAGAGATGGAAGAAGGTAATAGAGCAGAACGGTTCATATATAACACAGCAAATCAACCTTAAACAACAAATATCGTCTATTGATTTCGCATCAAAGAAAAGGAAGAAACTTATGGGACACCCTAATATTTATTCGCACTTCGTATTCTAAATTGATTTTTGTATATAACTACACTTATTTGTACAACGTGAACTATGCAAAAATTCTATGTTACAGCATAACGTTAACAAATACCATGGAAAGACACGTGTTTATGTACGGCAACAATAAATAACGAAGTATTATCCTGTCCCGTGGACATGTTCAATGGTTGGATCAAGTATCATATCATTGCCTCGAGGTTCCAGTTACTCCTACTATTACATGTTACTATCTCAACGCAATAATTTGCAGATAAGAGGAGCTCAACTTTATAAGAGCAGATACAGTCATTGTCGCTGATGAATGATGCATTTCCTTGGAACAAAACCCACAGCCGCCATTTACGCGTAGCATTGTTATTAAGGAAGAACAAAGAAGCGTAAATGGGTCCCTGGGGAAACAGCTCCCTACATAATTTACAGCTTTTTCGTAGCTAATGTCCATAATTACCGGCAATATAATTTTCTTCAAAGGCTCGATGCTCTAGCCTCTTAATAACGATATCTAAAAGGCATCCTGTGCAGATCTCCCTGCATCTTGCATTGTCCTCGGAATTTTACCCACTACGCATTTTCCATATAGGCAATAACCATCAAAATGATCATACAGTCCCTGTCATGGAATAATCGCGTTCTCCCTCAAGTACCATTTCAAATTCCTCGTTTCACATTCTCGCGAGCACTTCCCTCCATCTTTATCTTTCTCTAATCTTTATGCAAATTAGTACTTCATCTGTCTCATTTTGCTCTCTGTTCCTTTCAACCTTTATTTCTTGACACCCCCTTCCGCTTCGAGCAAGCCTCTTCCTCCAACAACTATCAAAATGATCATAGAGTATGCATAGATCAAGGAAGAACTGCATTGCACCTAAAGTACTATCTCCAATTCTTTGTTTCACCTTTTCACAAGCACTTTTCCTTCCCTTTGTTTCCTTTCTATTCAAATTAATATTCTATCTATTCCATGTTGCTTTCTGTTCCTCTCAGTCTCTCTTTAGTCCTTGCAATCCTCTTCCTCCATCTTCTTTACTTCCTCAAACAAGTCTTCTTCTTCAAAAAGTATCAAAATGATCATACAGTATATACCAATGAATAAATGGCTGTAAAGTACCATTTCAAATTCTATATTCTCACAAGCACTACTCTCTTTTGTTACCCCTTTTCTATCCAAATTAATATTCTATCTATTCCATTTTGCTTTCTGATCAAGCAAATCTGTTCCTCCAAAAAGTATCAAAATGATCATCTAATATTTGTCAAGAAATACATACTTGTAAAGTACCATTTCAAATTCTATATTCTCACAATCACTTCTCTCTCCTGTTACTTCTTTTCTATCTAAATTAATATTCGGTCTATTCCAGTTTGCTTTTTGTTCAAGCAAATCTCCTCCAAAAAGTATCAAAATGATCATGCAGTATATACCAATGAATAAATGGTTGTAAAGCACCATTTCAAATTCTATATTCTCACAAGCACTTCTCTCTCCTGTTACTTCTTTTCTATCCAAATTAATATTCTATCTATTCCATTTTGCTTTCTGTTTAAGCAAATCTCCTCTTCCAAAAAGTATCAAAATGATCATACAGTGTA